CGGCAGAGCCTGGTCTCTAATAAAAGAGAAGCAGGCTCTCATTTCTCACACTCTTTACCTAGTTAAGATCCCCACCCCAGCGCTTTAGAAAAAATTTCTTAAGGTTTAGATTACAACTCATATCTAGAGTTTTGCCAAAAAGGAGTAAGTATAAAGGTATTCACTATACAATACATACACAATATATTCACTATATAATACACAATTCCTATACACAAAGAAATGCTGGCGGACACAAAAGACATATTGCCCATTGTCAGAATAACTTAAAACAGGATTCAGTAACTTACAACTGGTATTATAATTTGCTGGGAGGTTGATACTCATCAGAACATAAATCTGTTTGCAAGAGTATTGATCAGAGGGGCAGCTAGATAGCACAGTGGGTAGAGCTCTGGCCTTGGAGTCAGGAGGACCTGAGTTCAAATCCAGCCTCAGACATATGAGACTTATTAGCTGCGTGACCCTGGGCAAGTCACTTAACCCTGATTGCCTCACCAAAAGGCAGAAGAAGAAGAAAAAAAGAGTATTGATCAGGCATTTTACATTTCACCTTGGCTCTGCACTGTCTCCCTCAGAATCCATGACTTTTGACAAATCAGGCCAAAGACTTGGGCTTATACTCTTGTTGGTTGTTAGAAACTTCCTTTGCTGCCACTCATTGGAATGAGGACTTCTGGTACTCAGAAGGTTGCCTCCAAGCTTCAGGAATAATGTCTGCTTGTCTACTCTGGAAAGAAAATGCAAAGCATAAAAGATAGCCAGGGACCCAGTTGTGTCCATGCTCCATGTGAAAGATGCTGACGGATTGGGGATGGGGGAAAGAAAGAGCACTGCTTCTCCCTTTACTTGCTCATAATTTAGAAATAGAAAGTTCCTACATAGAAGAATCAAAGCAAAAGAGGGAACCATAAACCATCCCTTCTTTATAGTTGATACAGAGCCCTGTACCCTTTCTGGTTTCACAAGGCAAAGGAAGAGCCCAGGGACCACATAGGATTTTTCATATCACACCAAAACAAGTCCTTTCATTCTGAGTCACCACCTGGCTGGAAACTACCAGTGAGTTCTTCATCTCTGACACACCCAAATGCTGAGCTTGAGGCTGGCCAGGATCAGGAACAGAAACTCTAAGCCAAGTTCCATGGGATGGCCCTCACTGAAGTCAAAAGACTTGGTTGAAATTCTGCTTTTGAGATGTTCTAACTGTACTTTTTAACTCTATTTTGAACTCAATTTTTTTTTCATTTGTAAAGTGGGGATTATAACCTTCACTTGGAAAAACAAAGTAGCACCTCACATCTATCAGATTGGCTAATATGACAGAAAAGGAAAATGATAAATGTTGGAGGGGATGTGTGAAAATTGGGACACTAAAGCACATGTTGATGGATTTGTGAACTCACCCAACCATTCTGGAGAACAATTTGGGACTACAGTTATCCCTTCCACATAGTGGGAGGGAGATTAGAGGAGCCCCAGCAATCTGGAAAATCCGAGTAAAATTTTTTGGTCCTCCCTTTATACCAGAGAAGTCTGAATTTTTTTCTTTTTCTTTTATGGGGTGTTTATAGTATTAAAGAATAAAATATGTTGATATTATATAATACTACACATACATTTTGTGCATTTCTCAGTTTCAAAACTTTTTCTGTGTCATCTTCTGGCCTTCGCATATCAATATGTCTACAGCATCTACAAAACTCCAAAAAAACTCCCATTTAATTTCTTATGCTAACTGATATTTCAAAACCACAATGAGGAAAGTTGTGATGTAGAAGAGTTAACTATGCCCAAAGGGCTATAAAACCGTGCATACCCTTTGACCCAATAGTAGCACTATGAGATCTGTATCCCAAAAAGATTTTTGAAAGGGGGAAAAGAGCTTATATGTACAAAAATATTTATAGCAGCTCTTTTTGTGGTGGCAAAGAATTAGAAATTGAGAGGATGCCCATCAATTGGGGAATGGATGAACAAGTAGCGGTATATAATTGTGATGGAATGCTTATTGCGCTATGAAAAATGATGAGCAGGATGCTTTCAGAAAAACCTGAACTGATGTGAAGTGAAATGAGCAGAACCAGAACATTATGCACAGTAACAGCAATACTGTGTAATACTCAACTGTGAATGACTTAGTTCTTCTCAGCAATGCAAAGACCCAAGACAATTGCCCGGGACTTATGGTGAAAAATGCTGTCCGCCTCTAGAGAAAGAACTGATGGAGACTGAAGGAAGATCAGAGCATACAGTTTTTTTACTTTATTTTTTGTATGCTTTTTGTCTGTTTTCTTTCACGACGTGACTAATATGAAATTATGTTTTATGTGACTGCACACCCGTAACCTAAATTGTCTGCCTTCTCGATGGGGAGAGGAAGAAGAGAGAGAATTCGGAACTCAAAAAATTTTTAAACAAAGTGTTAAACATTGTTTTTACATATAATTGGAAAAAAATTAAAATATTTTTTAAAAAGCATGGTGGAGAGAGAGACAGCCTTGGAGTCAGGAACTAATGAAGCTGTTACTATGTGCCAAGCACTTCGCTAAGCATTGGAGATGCAAAAACAAAAGCAGTTCTTGTAGGTAGAAACAAGGAAGTGAGGCAGCTCTGATGGTGAAGTAGATAGAGTGCAGGGCCTGAAATCAGAAAAAGAATCATCTTCCTAAGTTCAAATCCAGCCTCAGACATTTATTGGCTATGGGATCCCTATTTATCTCAGTTTTTCATCTGTAAAATGAGCTGGAGAAGGAAATTGCAAACCACCCCAGTGTCTTTGTCAAGCAAAGGATGTGATTGAACAACAAAAACCAGGAAAAATTATTTTGGTTTGGAAAGTTACAGGGATGATACCATTTGGAAGCAATGGTAGAATTGATTTGATTGCTATTCCCAGAGTGAGGGATGAATACTTGTGGAGAATTGTAATGGGCAGGGATGTGGGGGCAGGGAGGGAGATGACCAGGGTAAATGGTCAAATCAGATGTAAAATGTGATCTGGTATTGGGGGCAACTGAGATATAGAGCAGGACTTCTTTAACTTTTTCCACTTGCGACCCCTTTTCACCCAAGAAATTTTTACTCGACCCCAGCTATATAGGCATATAAAATAGGCATACAGAAACCTTTTACTGTTGTCAAATTTTTCACTACCCCCACAGTCAGTTAATCGACCCCATATGGGGTTATGACCCACATTTTAAGAAGCACTGAGGGCCACAAGCATTTGCACTGGCTTATTCACCAACCAGAACAACATAGCCCCAAGGTTATGGTTCCCAAACTGAGTAGGCTCAGTCATCTGGAGCATAGTCTCCAGAGGTCTGGTGGGTCCAGTGGTCTGGAGGGAGTTGGTACAAGGCAGATAACAAGGAACTGTCTAGGATAGATGGTCAGATAGGGTGTAAAACCTGGTCTAGAACAAAGTCCAATCTCTGGCTATATATGACCTGGGCAAGTAATTTAATTTCTCAGCATCCTAGGCAGCTCTCTAAGAGGATATAGTTCCACTTTGGTATGGAATGTTTCCTTGTTGGAAATTCCCTATTATGCCAGTGAAATCACAGGGCCAGTCCAAAAAAAGACAAAGGAAGAAAAAGGAAAAAACATCCTTGCATTACCTTCTTCACAAGAGTTATTGTGAGCAAAGGGCTTAAAATGCTATACATTTTATATATATATATATATATATATATATATATATATATATAAAATGCTATACATTTTATATATATATATATATACATAAATGCTATACATTATATATATATATATATAAAATGCTATACATTTATATATATATATATATATGCCATATGAATATAATAAATAAACAAGTAAAATGCTATATGTTTTTTATATATGCTATACAAATATAATAAATAAATAATGAACAAATAAAATACTATACAAAATATGACTTTAAAACGTTATACAGGGGCAGCTAGGTGGCGCAGTGGATAAGCTCTGGTCTTGGAGTCAGAAGGACCTGAGTTCAAATACAGCCTCAGACACATGACATTTACTAGCTGTGTGACCCTGGACAAGTCACTTAACCCCAACTGCCTCACCAAAAAGGCAAAATAAGATAAAATACCATACAAAAGTGAGTTTTCATTGTTTTAAAAATAACCAAAATTTAAAACATTTCCCCCTAGCATTTCACTGAGATAGAAGTCCTACAAAAAATAATATGTATGAAGTGGTGGGTTTTGTTTTCCCTTTCAGTCTTCACATTTTTAGAAAGACCAGATAAGTCAAATAAATGACTCCCCCAAAAACCCTAATCTAATAAAGTGTGAGGAGAGGGACAGGGACATGGGACCAGGAAGGCAGGGAGGAGAGGAGATCATTTTAGGGAAATCATTGTTGTTGCTCAGTCATGTTCGAATCTTCCTGACCCCTTTTGGGGCTTTCTTAGCAAGGATACTGGAGTGGTTTGCCATTTTCTTTGCCAGTGGATTAAGGCAAAGAAAGATTAAGTGACTTGCCCAGGGTCACACAGCTAGTGAGTATCTGAGATCATATTTGAACTCAAGTGTTCCTGACTCCAGGCCCAGCGCTCTATCCACTGCACCACCTAACTGTCCTGAGAAATCGGGAGACAGTTATTATTCCCATATAGAGATCCAGGAATTATATTCTGCAGCCTAGGAAAAAGGGGAGTTGCTAAAGGGGTAGAGGTGGGAAGGTTAGTCAAAGAGGTTCCTGAGATCAGTACAAAACCGTTCAAGAAGCTAGCTAGGGTAAGAAAGAGGAGAGGAAGGACAGATAAGGTCAGAATGGAACAGACCTCTCTGAGCTTCAGGCCATCTGCCCTGTCAATCTCATCCCACACAACTGTCCCTACCCCCAGTTCCTAAGCCCTGAGGCTAGTTTCCCCCACAGTCCTTTTACCGGGAGCCCTGTGGGCCCCCGCCACGAGAATGGGAACTGAGTCAGAGCTTAATGTGTTCCAGTACCGACAACCTCCTCCTGTCCTTGGCAGAGACAAACAAAGCCCAGAAGCACTAAATGTGGCTGTTTAGCAGTAAAAGACTCAACTCCAGCCACCATCAGGTTAATGGGTCTGGCAAAACTAGGAGAACAGAATGAGGGTCGGGTATCCAAATCCCCCCAGTCCAAGCCTGGGGGCTGGGCTATTCTTGGTCTATGAATACATACGCCTATTTATACCACCGGGGTGGCCAGCAGCCTTCTGCAGCAGAGAACTACGCAGAGCTGCTACCGCTGCTGCTACCGCTGCTGCTGCTACCAGCCTGGGTTGACTGCAGTGTCAGGACAGCAGCCGGAGACTACAAGAGGAACCTGGTGACAGCCGAGAGGCCCCTGAAGCAGCCCAACTCTGGTGGGATTTAGAGGCCCTTAGACACCAGCAAGATGAAACAGATTGGCTAAGTACCCCACCCCCCCGGAGTCCTCAGATTGGAGGGATGGGGAGTACCACGGATCCCCCAGGGGGGTCCATACCTGAACCTGGGAGCCGTCACGTCCCCTGTGGGCACCACCCGCCTGCTACAGCTGGCATTTGGCTGTACCACCTTCAGCCTCGTGGCACACCGGGGTGGCTTCGACGCTGCCTATGGGACCTTCTGCATGTCCGCCTGGTGTTTCTGCTTTGCCCTCACTGGTCTGGTGGTGGCCTTCGAGTTCACCCGACTCCACGGCTGCCTCCGTCTCTCCTGGGGCAACTTCACTGCAGCCTTTGCCATGCTGGCCACCCTCCTGTCAGCCACGGCCGCCATTGTCTACCCTCTGTATTTTACCAGGCTTGAGTGCCCCCCAGAGCCAGAGGGATGCACCGCCCGTGACTTCCGCCTGGCCGCCAGTGTCTTTGCGGCTTTGCTCTTTGTAACCTATGCTACTGAAGTGGTCCTGACTCGGGCACGGCCAGGCCAGGTCACCAGCTATATGGCAACGGTGTCGGGCCTGCTGAAAATCGTCCAGGCCTTCGTGGCCTGCATCATATTTGGGGCCCTGGTCCATGACAGCCGCTATGGGCGCTTTGTGGCCACTCAGTGGTGCGTGGCTGTGTACAGTATATGCTTCATATGCACCGTGGTGGTGGTAGGCATGAGTGTGACCGGCCGGGCCGGAACCCTGGGCTTTCCCTTTGACAGGATTGTAGTTGTGTACACATTTCTAGCTGTGCTGCTTTACCTAAGTGCAGCTGTGGTCTGGCCTGTCTTCTGCTTTGACCCCAAGTATGGGACTCCCTCAAGGCCCTCAGGCTGTCCTCAAGGAAACTGTCCTTGGGATAGCCAGCTGGTGGTGGCCATCTTCACTTATGTCAACTTTCTCTTCTATGTTGCTGACCTGGCCTACTCCCAGAGGATCCGCCTTGTGCCCAGTCTGTAGGCCCAAGAGAGCTAATGCCACCCTCCATCCACCCACCCATAGACACATACACACATCTTCTGTGCTGGGGTTGGCCCCTTCTCTCTCTGACTTGAGGGCTTCTGGATTTGTCTGAGGGAAAGAAAGGGTGTGTGGAGAGGGGAAAACAGAGGGAAAATGTCTGGGATGGAGTTGCTGAGCCTTGAAGGAGGGAAGACTGAGGGAGGGAGGGCAGCAGGCTTAGACAGAGAAGATTTAGGAGACTGACATTGGGAAGGCCACAAATGAAGAATGCATTAGCCCATGTGAGGGAGTTTAGTAACCTATGGGGAGTGGTATGACTCTAAATGGGGAGGAAAGAGTATTATGTTGTCTACCCAGAACTTACATAGCTGGAACAGGACAATTTACCTAAAACCCAATTTGCCTCAGAATTATTTGCCTTATGGTATGAGCTCAGTAGATCAGTATATATATGGCTTGCAAGCTCCTTGAAGGCAGAGGCTGTTTCATTTTATTTGTCATATCCTCAGAATTAACAAAGCACACATAGAAAGTCCCAAATGTCTTTTGAGCATCATCGGTTTTCATTATTTTAACATCATCACATGATCAGTGTTGTTTTGTTGTTATTTTAAAATTTATTTCTGGAGAATTGCTTTTTAGCAGGTGATTGGTCTGGACCTCCCTTCTCGGAGACTCATTAGTCTAATCCTCTCATTATACAGGTAAGGAAATGGAAAGCTAGAGAATTTGAATGATTTGTTCAATGTTACACTGCTGATTAGTGGCAACGCTCTAACTAGGACTCCTGACATCTGGTCCAGAGTTACTTCCATTTTTGTTTGCTATTTCTTGGTTCTTCACTGAGCTAGCAAGAGGTAAAGGTTGGATCTGGAAAGCAGCCAGGAGGAAGTTGGGGATGGAGTTGTGCACCATTTCTTACAGAATGAGAACCCAGCTTAGGATACCCTGGACCCAGGTCCACTACTGCCTGGCAAGAACATTTTGGGGGCACAGAATGCTGTGGACATGATGCATTGCAAGAAATTAAAATACTCTGGGACATTGCCATGTCATGAAGGCCAGTGTTTGGGGTAAAAAAGACTGGAGTATTTTGAGTAATGTAGTTTCCCCTTAACCTCAGTTCCTGGACTTCTGGATTCCCATCAGAAGCAGCAAGTTTACATTCAGTAAACTCCCTTCCAAGGGGCCACTACTAAAGAATCCAGGATGAACCCACACCATGGAAAAGAGCCAACCACATCATCCTCTGACTCTTGGCTTCTTGGCTTGACCTCCATCATTCTTAAGTCTACAGCTCCAGAGAACTTTGGCTGGGCTGCTGCTAGGTCCCTCTTAGTCTTTCAGGAAGTACCTGAGAATGGAAATAAAGTAGAAGTTGATTTGTACACTGGTTCTGACTACATCATTTCATTGAAGTGTCCCTTCCTCTGCCAAGCATATTATAGACTCAGCCACAGAATATTAGAGCCAAAAGAGACTTCACAGATAACTTACTCAGATTGCTTCATTTTATGGATAAGGCCTAGAGAAGGGAAGACACTTACCCAAGGACACACAATTAGCAAATTACAGCTTCCTTGTATTCTCTAGATATGCCCTCTTCATGCCCTGTTCATTGGATGAAAGGCCTGAGGGCTCCCCATATTGCCTTTACATTCTCCCCAGGAAAAAAAATTCATGTGTGTTCTCAAAATTTTGGGATATAGGAGAGGTGCTAGTCTTTTCAGATCAAAGGGCTTCTGCGTACAATCTGCCTCCAAGGAAGGAAGGAATGGAAAGGGGAATTTTGTCTTCCTCACTGACCACTCTACTCTGGCAAGACTTAGGGCCTCTGGCTAAGCTGTCTCCAAGACTTCATTTAGTGAGTCTGTCCAACCTCCTCAGTCTCCATTTCCATGAAAGCTCATTCTCCAGTTTTATCACTATCATCATCAATAAACATGTATTAAGTGCTTGCTATATACCAGGCTAAGCACTGGGCGTACCAAAAAAAAAAAAGAAAGAAAGAAAGAAAGAAAGGAAGAAAAGCAAAAACAGGGTTCCTAACCTTGAGGGGCCCACATGCTAATGGGGTTTATCTCTGAGAGTCAGGGCTCTTTATCTCTCTCCTGGGTGGGGAGCTGCCTGGTTTCTGTAACAAGCAGTTTCTCATAGCTCTTATAGCTGTTTCTGGATAGGCCGGGCAGAGCCTGCAACAGAGTAGGCGTGGAATGTGGCCTCAGTTCAGGTAGTTTTCCCAGCAACTGCTTTGAAACCCTGCCAGGACAGTGTCATATCTGTTCTATTTTCACAGCGTCAACTATCACCCTATGCAAATGAATCACAAATTTCTATCTCTGGCCTTCTAGGTGCCAGTCCCATATCTCAAACTGCCTCATACTCAGCTCCTTCCTTCCCTCCCTTCTTTCCTTCCTTCCTTCTTTCCTTCTTTCCTCCCTCCCTCTCTCCCTTCAGTCTTTCCTCCCTCCTGCCCTCTCTCCCCTTCCTTCCTTCCTTAATTTCTTTCTTCTTTCCTTCCTCCCTCTCTTCTTTCCTTCCTTTCTTTCTTCTTTCCTCCCTTCCTTCCTTTCCTCCCTCTCTCTCTTCTCCTCCCTTTCTTTCTTCTTTCCTCCCTTCCTTCCTTTCCTCCCTCTCTCCCTTCCTCCCTTCCTTCCTTCCTTCCTTTCCCACCTTGTATCCCCCATCCACAGATACATCTGGTTTTCATTCCAATATGTCTTATAAAAGTTGATTTCTTTATAGGTGCAACAGCCCTTTGCATCACCTTCTTCCCTTGCAGACAGAGGAAATTGTCAGGATCCTTGCTAAGAATTCTGGGGCTTGTAGTGTTTGCTGCTTTTCCTAGTCTTAGAAAAGTGGCAGAAATACTAAGCAATTTAGAATTTAGAATGTGGTGTTATGTCATCCCACAGGAAGCTTGAACAAGATGGGGAGAGAGAATACAGAAGGCAGGAAGACAGAGACAGGGACAGAATGCTCATCAGTAGCAACAGCTGTGGTAGTGACCTTGTCCTAACCTCTGACACCTGGGGAGAAGGAGAGACTGTAAGACTGAAGTGGTGATTAGAAAGATGGAGATCGCCTCTAGTTGCCCTTTGCAGCTTGAGCGTGTCTGATTATGAGGAAATACTTCTACAGGGGAAAGTAGAGGAAGTGGGCTATTCCTCTACAAAGATCAGAAAAAGGCCAACCAGTCTTCTCCCTCTCCAACCCCCCCACTCCTCATGCTTATTCATTATTGGATGATTATATGCTTCTTCCCACCCCTTATATTTCCTTAAGTGGGCGTATTCTGACTTTTTCTCATGCTTGCTTTGATCACAAATAGAGAGCACAAGCAGGGAAGCTTCTGATTCGTTTGGTTTCACAGAATTCAAAGTTACCTTTCCATCTTAATGGCAGCAGCTACTTGGTACTTGACAAGTTGTCTTTTTTATTTTATTAGTAATTGTAAACTTGCTAGAGGCAGAGCTTTAAAACTGAATCTGGGCTCATTGCTTCTAGACTATTGATTTTGTTGTATGCTGAGAGAAGAATGCAGAGGCCCAGGGGCAGCTAGGTGGCACAGTGGATAGAGCACCAGCCCTGAAGTCAAGAGGAACTGAGTTCAAATGTGGCCTCAGATCAAACACTTGACACTTACTAGCTGTGTGACCTTGGACAAGTCACTTAACTCCAATTACCTTAAAAAAAAAAAGAATGCAGAGGCCCAGAGGAAAAGACTTTGCTCTGACCTAGCCCCACTGGGTGCATAGAAGCACAGTCTGGGGAGGATTCCTATTCTGTTCCTTTCCTTGGAGGAAGGGAGGAAGAAATGAGGAGCAACTATAGCAAATCAGCTTTGTTCTCCATTATGACACTTGCTAGAGAAATAGGTGAAAGGTCTACAGTCAACTGCTGGAGCCATGAGAATGGATGAATTAGTTTCATTATATGTAATTTGAGGACCATATGTTCTCTAAAGTTCCTTCTGTCTTCAAAGTCTATGATTTTATATATGATTTATATATGTATGTATCCTCAGTGCCTAAAAGAAAGTAAATCCTGAACATTTGGTAAGTACATGTTGAATGAAAGGTGAGAAAAATAGAGGCAGAATATGATCAAGAATACCAGAGTTGGAAGAGATTTTGAAATCATAGGCTCATATAGCTAGAAGGGGCCTCAATGGCTATTCAGTTTACTTCTGTCATTTTATAGATCAGAAAACTGAGGCCAATAAGGAGAAGTGATTTGGCTGAGGTCATACATTACTAAGTGTCAAAGATGGTGTTTAAACCCAAGTCCTCTGACTCCAAAGTCAACATCCTTTCACTTGGACCATCTTGTTCAACACCCTCATTTTAATTGTGAGGAAACCTCCTTTGGAAAAATTAGATTGTAAAATAAAGAGAAATAAGATGGTAGCTGGTGGGTGTAGTAGGGTCAGGTGAAAGGTTACACTACTCCAGTGGACAAGTCAACTGTCACAGACAACAATAACAATTCATTTATAGAGCATTTTAAAGTTTTTCAGATGCGTTACATTATTTCATTGGGTCAAACTAAGGAGTTTGAATTTTATTAACTGGGCCATGGGGAGCCACTCAAAGTTTTTGACCAGGGAAGTGACATAAGACCTGTGCAGTAGAAAGATACATGGGCAGCTAGGTGGCTCATTGGATAGAGTGCCAGCCCTGGAGTGAGGAAGACATGAGTTCAAATCCAGCCTCAGACGCTTATTAGCTGTGTGACCCTGTTTGCCTCAGTTACCTCATATGTAAATTGAGCTGGAGAAAGAAATCACTCTTTGCCAAAAAAAACCTCCAAATGGGTCACAGAGAGTTGGACGTGACTGAAACATAACTCAACAACAACAGTTAGAAAGATTGGTTTGCCAGTGTTTCCTTGGATGTATTCAAGACAGGAGAGATTGAAGAGAGGCCCACCGGTTAGAAGGCAATTGTAATAGTTTGAAAAAGAGGGGATAAGGTGGTGTCAATAGAGCAGGAAAAGTGGGCATAGATACCAGAGCTATTCTGGAGGCAGTGGGGCAAGGAAGAAAAAATACTGGATTTGAAGTCAGAAGATCTGAATTCAAATTCTAGTCCTGCCATTTTACTATCCGTGTGAACTTGAGCATGTTACTTGACTTCTTTTTCCTTGTGGGAAAATGAGAGGAATAAACTAGATGATTAAGATCTAGTCTAGCCCTAAATCTAAGATCTTAGAGTCATTCAATGAAATGACCAACCAAAAGTCCAAGAGACCCGTATTGAATCATACCCACCTCCTGGCAGAGAAATATGATAGATTCAAGGGACAGGTTGAGACATATGTTTTTTTGGGCATGACCAATGTGGGAATTTGTTTTGCTTAACTATGCATATTTTTACAAGGGCTCTTACTTGCTTGCTTTTACAATGAAGCGGGGATGGAGAGGAAAGAGATAAAGTAGATTTTGATTAATCAGAAGAAAGTAAATTTTTAAAAATTTGGCAATGTTTGGAAGGAGTAAGAAAATGAGAGAGACATAAAAGTCAAAGATAAAGTTTTGAAACGGTGGCAGGGATACCCTCAGCAGAATGAATGAGATCAAAGCTTATCATGTGTTAGTTAAATTTCAGTGAGCTCTGGAAAACATGTTAGCCCCCTCAGATCCACTTGTATGAAGAAACCATAAGTGTAATCCTTTTCATTTCATTATGAGTCTTACTTCCATGTCAAAGAGGGATATTTTCTGACTGTCTTGGATTGTGTCCTACTTGGAGCCAAAAGCCCCACATGCCCTGACTACAAAGAGAGGCAATATACTTACAACTCATCAGGTGGTGGTGGTAAGTGAGGAAAGTTGAGCTATCAATCATCCTTTAATGTGGGATGGAGAAGAACTCCCTCCCTCCTCCCTTCAGGGATGTGATTTTCTTATTCTGAACTTACACACACGCACACACACACACACACACAAAGTATTTCCATACACACAGCTGTGCACATAAAAAGAGGATTCTTTTTTAAAACCATTAATCTCTATTTCATACTGCTTGCTTTTTAAAAAAGTATATAATAAATTCTCATATAACTTTCAAAATTCTCCTGCCTGTCTGTGCTTTCTTCTGAACTTCATTTTGTCCTGTGAAGTATTTTTAAAATGTTACAATGGCCCTCATTTTTTGGCATCATCATTATATATCGCTATTGTGTTGCTTCCCTCACTTGGCCTCCCCATTAAAATCAATAGAAAAAAAATAAGCTTGTAACAGATAAGCAGAGTCAAGAAAAATAAATACACATAGTAGCACTGTCAAAAACGTATATCTCTGTTGCTAACTGTGTGGCCCTGGGCAAGTCACTTAACCACAAGTGCCTAAAAAAAATTTTTTTTTAATGTACATCTCTGTTGCTTACAGT